TAATTACTATATCTAAACAAACGCAAGATAGTTGCTAGGCCCGACCTGAATCGGCACGCGCCCTCAATGTTCACATCGGCTAAACCAAACAAAATTGATTGATACAAGGCCAATATTACGTCAGAAGACTCCCGTGTAAACTTCTGTCTCACAGCCAAAAGTTGATAAATATTTTCTAAGTAGAAAATTCCTTAAAATAGTGCTTCAAATACCTCACCGTTCGTAGCTCGAAGACTTTATAAAGAAACACGTTCAAAACAAACTATTTACGCCTTCTTCCCGAAGAGTGGGTTTCAGCAATTTTTCTTGAAGAATTTTCTAGAAAAATTTATATATTTCCTTTTAGTTTTTGTTAAGTTTCTTGTCTTTAAAAAGTTAAAAATAAGCATTTCATCAAAAAAAACTAGTTCACTCTACATAGGTTTGTCAGGTAGCCAAGTATAGTTAGTTTTAAAAATTTTATTAACAACTAGCTACTTCCGCGCGGTTCCATACCCTTTGCTCAGCTCATATCGATTGTAGCGTAACGTTTTAAAGCTTATAGCCTTCCTTGATAAATGCGCTATCTAACACAAAAATAATTATTCAAATCAGACTTGTAGTTCAAAGATTAGCGCGTTCAAAGAAATAAACAAACTCTTCAGCTTTATAATATTAGTATAGATCATACGCGGTTTGGTTTATGCACGGTAACAGTGTTTCACCTAATACATGGGATTTCAGCCTTATTGCCACTATACGGACGAAGGACGAACCGAAATTAGTTTTACTATAAGCCTTACCGCCGTACTCATGACTAATTTAATGGATACTTAGTCTTTAGCAATTGTTTTCGGAATAAAACCTTTACTAAGGAATTATTTAAGTCATGGTTTCTTAACGTGGGCTCCATGGACCTCTTAGGGGTCCGTATCATGTAAGTCAAGGGTTTGCAGTAGGTCAGTCAGTCTAAACATATTTATTAGGAAATTATGTAGTTCACTTGATGAGACTTTTTAAGATAACTTCAATAATAAAGACAAGCGAATAAGAAAAAAAGCAATCTGTTCTGGACCTTTAGCCAAACGCCACTTTAGCGCTTGTCTACAGAGAGAGTACAAATCAAAATGTATGGGGATGACACTGACAAGTGTCAAAACTTACGTCAATTCCATATAATTTGGTTTTCTATTCTACATGTAGACAAGCGCTAAATGGCATTTGGCTACAGCTGCTGGTATTAATCTCTTGACTGCCGGTATATAAGACACAATAGAAAATGCATTGTGTCTCGCGTAGATCTATGTTCCGGCACACGACGGGTTAATAAAAACAAAATGTCGCAACCGATTGAACGTCGAAGATGACATGCCCCTTGCCTTGACGAAGACTGTCCCATAATTCAACGTTCTCTCTAGTCACTTTTGAGTACAATTTATGCTCTAAAATGACGTAGCTATCTCCCACTCCTAAACTTTGATTCGTTTTATCGAATTCAATTTCTAACTTACGGACTAATTAGATTTTTAATTTTCATATCCTGTCATCATCCGTACTGTGAAAGTGGTCCGCGACTGCAAAAAGGTTAAGAAACTCTGGTTTAAGTAGTTTATAAACATTTGTGAGTACAGCATAAGTTTATACATATTTAAAGCTATGTATATGGTAACTATTTCAGTTTTCCTACTTTCCTATATCCAAGTGTGAATCCTTGCCCCAAGGCTTCGACGCTTTTCTTCAGTCTGATTCATGTGTCTAGGGATTTATTTGTTTTCTTTACCGTATTTTCGTTCTCATACATTTTAGACGCATGCAAAGAATAGGGTATGCCCATAAATATTTTACCATTTTATACTAAAAATAGGTTTTTGTATATTGGTAACTATTTTTTCTACTGAACTTTTTTCGACTAGGTCCATCGGTTCTCTGGCTGACTTTGCAGATTTATCTGTTCTTCATAATTTACTTAGGATAAGACAACATTATTGATTACACATGTTGTCAAATTTCTTTATTTTTATTTCAACTCAGACAGGAAAACATCATAAACTGGTGTAACATACTCCGTATAGATATTATCATTCTATATTTAGTACATGGTTTTGATATTGGAAATTGTATTATATAAATCTAGTGATTTTAACTATGACGTAATGCTCCATCGTACCGCATCATTGCTTATTAGGCGAGATAATGGTCAAACGTTAGCCCATGAAATATAAAAAAAAAATCGTACGCTGCATCATCGCTTCTCATCAGGCAAGATAGTGGCCAAACATAGGTCCATCAAATATGTAGGTATAAAAAGAAAATCATAGTATTAAATCTAATCCATTAAATTTACTGTAAACAATACATATACATCCTATAATACGTATTTACTACGTTACGTAACCGTTGCTTCTTTACATAATATTTCATTACAAAGGAGAATGATTACCTCACCATAGAGATCGAAAGGTCAATAACCTCAAGTGATTGATGATGACACGAAGAAAACTCGGTAAAACTTTCTAAAGAACGAAGTTTCATTGATAAGTCTTTTTTTAGATATCGTATTCTTCGCTATCTAGCTGCGATCAATTTTATTTTTCGGACATTATGATATTATGAATAATTCTAGAAGGGCTCAGTTTTAAATGCTATTTTAATTAGGTTTTAGCACTTATGAACCTGCTATGCATATTCCGTAGGCACTGTGTGACCTAATAAATGACACATTACACAAAGATAGAACATCTCTGATAAATCTGGATTTCTCCAGACAGTCGCCCAAGCGTGAAGGTTATGGTATACCTACTTATACAGGAGGAATACTCCAGCAGTTAAGTGTATCTCATTATCATCATCATCATCAACGGCCTATAAGTAGCCACTGCTGACCAAAGGCCTCTTCTCACACGGAGAAGGTTTGGGAATAAATCACCACGCTTGCTCATGCGGGTTGGCAAACTTGTAACTAGAAATTATAAGCTCAGGATTCTTTCACCGTTTGTCAGTAGTGTCTAAATAATCTTAGAAAGTACGTATAGGTCAGAAAAAGTCACATTGGGATAAGTCCCAATGTGACTAAACGAAGCGAAACCTACCAACGGTAAGCCGAACTAAGTTTCGAACTCGCACTCTCGTGTATGAGACGCAGACGTCTTGAACCTCCGGGCTACCACGACATGCAGCTTGCAGTTACATTAATACCTATTCCGTAATGGCCTTAGAAATCTCAAAATATTCAATTTCTATAAATCTGGATATCCCAAACGTAGTGAAACGATTCTAGAATAATCTTTTTTTATGAATTTGCCGTGGATTCCATTTTCGAAAGCAATTGCTTTTTATTTTAACTGTGGACTAATCTAATAAGGTTTTATACCTAACAAAATCTAGATTACAATAAATCGGATGTTTGAATCGTCATTATTTGCTGTTTCTAGATAATTAAATTATTTTTAGTTATTTGTTTACTTTCAACATAAACATTAACAGCCCAGTAATGAACTATGGGCCTTGTCTACATAATAGAGTAGATGACAAATTTTTATTTTAATATCCGTCTGGTAGATTGTTTAAAAATATTAGACACGTATTTTTATTTTCTTAATTCTTTAAGCTCGTTTTCACGAATAGTTTCAAAGATATATTGATTTGAAATATCGCAAAACGTCACTTTTGAGTACGATTTACCTATAAAATGACGTAGCTACCTCTACGCTTAAACTTTGATTCGTTTTATCCAAGTATTGTTTTCTTATATGACTAAATAAAAAAGTGTGTTTAATGTTTTTTCATTACCTAACTTCATACCCTTTCATCATCTCTATTATAGGGTTCTATTTCGTTCTAATTATCTCAGCGTTGGAGACATTTTTTTTTATATTAACAAGTAAAAAAATTGTTACGCCCAACCCTAAATTAGAACCAGAACTAAAGATCCTTTAATAAACCATCGCTGAATATTATTTAACGTGTTTAGAATTACAATTCTCTTCTCTGTATTACATTGAAACAAATAAATTTTAAACCACATAAGCCTTTTAAAACCCCATACTAGCGAGTACAAAACTGTTATAGCAATGTTTTTTTCTTAAAAGATTACTTAACCCTTAAACACTGCTAAAATATTCGACACGATATTGAATGATTGACAGGTTTACGACGAAGAATTATTAATGGCTGACCTCTTTTTTCATTCAGATGACATTTACTTAAAGGTTTGAATTTGGAATTGAAGACTTAAGCCATTAGTGATAGAGATTGAATGTTATCATTTGAGTGCAGTTCTACCCAAATTGTAATAAAATGTTAAGTATTTGACATTTTCGTATTATAAAAACAACAGCAAAAATCGAATGTTATTAAATCTCCAGCTCCACTCTTACTAGTGTTCATTTTGATGGATTAGTGGTATTGTCGAGGTTACATAGACCTCGCTACCACAATTTACGACCTACCAACAACACGGATAACATTAGAGCTAAGTAAAAAACTGTGTAAGTCATTTTCATATAAAAACACGCCAACAACATAAAAGAAAAGAAAAATCAAATATTTCATAAACACAACTTAAAATACATATTACATTCTAACATTGACATCAAACAATGTATTAAGGAACAAAAAAAAACAAAATACAGAATTAAAATTGACACGAAAAAGGTCTGAAGGTACACGAAAAAGTAGGGCCGCAGTCACGAAACTCTTAAAAAGTAACAAACCGTCGGACCGTGAACCCGACCCAGCTTTGACACTTTTTTTTTCTTCTTTCATGTCAAGCACAGAACGTAATTAGTTTTATAATCTGTGGTGACAAGTGTACATTTAAGCCTCAATTTACTCCGACCTACGAAACAAAATTGTGTTCACTTAAAAAGTATAAAATCTGGCGGGAAAACATCAACTTTCACATAATTGAGTGATAAAAGTACGTTTCTTCCATTTTTCTTATTTAACGCTACGCCTCTTGGAAATTGGGATGGAAGTTCTCTTCCATAAAACGAATGTATTTGGAAGTTCAAGACTCGAGAATGGTTATGCTCATTGCGAAAATTTTCGCCGTAAGTAGACGCCATTTTGCCGGTTCAACAACAAAAATGAGCGTGAAATAAAAAGACGAAAGCTACGTTAAACATGCATGTGTTCCGTGATCTTGGTTAGCCATGAACTTGAATCCTTTTGAATATTTTACTTTATATTTATTTATTTATTTATTATTTATTTATTAAAACTTTATTGGACATACAGTGAAATTGGCGGACTTAATGCCGTATATTTATATCTTATTTTGTATCTACCATTAAATAAAGGTTAGGTAGGTATATTGAAATCAAAACGGTATTTTTGCCACTAACCACTAGGTACTAAGTACATTTATGATACTTATCACATTTATATAAATCTAACAAAAAGACCTTTCGAAAATAGCCCACAAATTTCACATGTCCCATTGAGAAATTCCACCAATAAAACTAACCTGTAAAAATTGGATCGCCAAGCATTCGAATAAACCACAAATCGAGAACCGAATGCATCAATGTTTCACGTCATTCGATACAAATCGATTGCAAATCACTCGATTCCCACAAGGATTGAACTTTTATGGTGTCGTTCCGATGTTGATCTTCTATTGTTGGCGTAGATTACTCCCTGGCGTCCCAAACGGCGCCAACTTATATAATGAAGGCGAGGAATAATGGAAAGTGACTTTTTATATAAAGAATTGGTCTATTATGTATCGTATAAATCACTACTTACGGTATAGTGAACGAATGTTTCCTCACAATGCGTATTGTTAAAGAAATCCGTGGCCTGTTTGCTTTTTACGATGGTTGTAGTAGATCCTATATAAAAGGTAACAGCGTATGTTTATTGCTACTTAGATTACGCAGTTATCAATATCAGTACGTGTAATCCGACATTTGTTTTATGTATGTCACTAGGCCATTTACAAGCAAGCATTATATTTGGATGCGTAACATAAGTACCTAGTCGGCGATAAATGAATGACCTTCAATTCAAATTCACACTTTTTAGCCAGTTAGAACATATAACACTAGAAAGGCCGAGAATCGAAATAACCTAGCGGCAGTTCTATGTAAATCATAATTTATTTTTTAATTATTATGGTCTTCACGCTGAAAACAATAATAGTTATGAAAATACAATAAATAAAAGTCAAAAAGTTTCTCGTACCTAACGTTTAAAAACAAAAGATATGAATTATCAAACTTGCAAATGGAACAAAATTGGGACGGTGGCCTTTCTAGTGATAAAACTATTTATGTTTATCACTAGAAAGGCTTTTAAAATCAGTTAATATAGATTAGTATCTACATTTAAATTTTCTAAACTAAAAACACGAATTATAATTTAATCTTTAGTAAGAACATAGACTTCATTAAATAACATACTGCGACACGCTGAAATAAATAACGGTAGGTTGACTGCACAGTTGGCGCGGTGGCCGGGCAACCGGCTGCTGCGCAATGTGTCGCGGGTTCAATTCCCGCACGAAATAACTCTTTGAGTGATCCACAGATTGTTGTTCCGGGTTTGGGTATCATGTGTATATGAACTTGTATGTTTGTAAACGCACCCACGACACAGGAGAAAATCCTAGTCTGGAGCAACGTTTTTTTTAAAACAAAAAAAAGATAAAGTTTTTTTTTAATAAATAATAATAGAGGTACTTAAATACAATTTTGTCACGTCGTTGAGACGCATGTCGGTTTTATTGAAAAGATACCTATCAACGCCGAGTGGGTGAACTGGGTGAAATTAACCTTTAACTTTATGACCTCCGTGGGCGTTAATAGTACATGCTTTTTTAACAGAATCTCTCGTGAACATACTACCTACGCTAGTATCGAGGTTTCGTTTGGATTTCAGTTTTAGGTACTTCTTTTGTTTGTTCTAATAATATGAAAAGTTTTAATCACATTAGCGTACAGATATAATTAATTTTCTGTGTTTTGTAAGTTATAAGGAAGTCGGCCTTGTTAATCTTTTGATGGCGTGTGGGAGAGATTCTGACTAATAAATTAGATTTAAGCTTAAAAAAATGTATAATAACGTTCATATTTCAAGATACATGTTACTTGTTTTCTTTTTACAATACAAAACGACGATATAAATCGATACCGTCTGTTTTGTTACCATCACGCAGCAATATTTAATGCAATTTCACAAAATTTTAACGAAACGACAATTAATTTGTACAAAATGACAATATTTCAAGCAATACTTTATCAGCATTTTGAGACAAAAATAATAAATTAAAGGCCCAGTATTTGTCAATCCAGGGTCCAAAAGTCACGGTTGAAGTGTCAGGATGTCACGATACAGTACACGCTGTTTTAATCATATTGCTGAATCGCTTAAACTGAATAGCTCTCTGAGCCGTGACAGTTATTACAAAGAGTAGTAATTGATGTTGTTTACATAGTGGCTGACTGGTTGCTGACTGACTGTTTAAATAAATATTTGAGTACTGTAAACTTATCCATATAAGAAAGAGGCGTTTTCTACGCAATGGGATTGTAACAAGCTAATATGAAATTTTACAATAATTATTACTTTTATAACATATCATAACATCACGCCTTTTATCTCCGAAGGGGTAGGCAGAGGTGTACATTATGTCACTTTACAATGTACCACCCACTTTTCACTATTTATGTTATGAGTCCCATGTAATAGGGGGTGAGTCTATTGCCATATACCTACCGGGCACAGTTCCAGACTTCGTGCTACTACTGAGATTTGTTTTAAAACCCAGTAATACTTTGCCCAACCCGGGAATCGAACCCGAGACCCCTTGCCCGGCAGTCGCACTTGCGACCGAGGCCGACTCAGCCAACGAGGTAGTCTTATTTATAGTCTTATTAACAATATTACTTTTATCAGGACTGCCTCGTTGGCCGAGTGGTCGCAAGTGCGACTGCCGGGTTTTTGTACAGTGGTATAATGTGCACCTCTGCCTACCCTTTCGGGGATAAAAGGCGTGATGTTATGTTATGTTACTTTTATCTGGTTGTTAAATACTACATTTAGGTAGTATGCCTTTTACAAACTCCTCTAGTTTTTATAATTACGTGTGAGTAAACCATTATTTAAATAATTTTTTTCTCTTGTTCCAGATAATATGCACAATGGAGGATTACAACGAGACTTACGAATCAATGGACGACATGCTGAATCAGTCAGAGAGTTACTACCAACCGTACTATGAGAGGCCAGAGACATACATAGTACCGTTAATATTCGCACTTATATTCGTCATAGGGGTGGTCGGAAATGGGACCCTAGTGGCCGTATTCGTCCGACATAAAGCTATGAGGAATGTGCCTAATACGTAAGTACTTAACTATTTTTGTTTATTTTAAAAAGAGGTTGGTGTTTTTCTACTACTACCTCACTTATTTTTCATGTTTCGAATATGCAACCTTTTTGGCCGAGTTCCATTAACCGCGGCTATATTTATTACTGGTCAGAGTTTCCTTTAAAGAAATGCAGTCTTATGAACAATTTATTATTAGGCATCAGATTTGATAATAGGCTTAACTTATTATGTAGTTTATAAGTAAAAAAAGAAAAGAACAATATTTATCGCACACATATTTATTCTCTTAGGGTCGATGTCTTTAATGCCAGATAAGTTCTAACTGAGGACTACTAAAAACTGTCAAAAGTCAAATTTCTTAACTATATATAAGTTAAGAATTAACTGATGATTGAAAAATCGGCCCTTATACATTTTATTAGGAAAGGATTAAATCTTAAGTATACTATAATATACCGACACTAAAGAGGTTCACTCTAGATTTTATATAATGCATAATGCAACACTGTATTACTAACCTGAATTTTTAGCGCTGACAACACAGTGCTCTGCTTATAAAGTAAAATATTTAATAAGATACAAAAATGTAGTTAATATTAACGTAATCCCTTGCCTTAAAGACTGACAGAATGTTTTAATATAAATTTATAGAGTTTCTACATGACAAATACCTGAGAATATTTACTTAGTGAGGACAAAATAATTTTCTAAAGAAATGTTATATATTTATATTCCACTAGCTTCTGCCAGCGGCTTCGCCCGCACTCCCGTGAGATAAAAAGTGGCCTATGTGCTATTCCATAATATAATTAACTCTTGTTCCAAATTTTATCTCGATACCTTCTGTCGTTTTGACATGAAAGAGTAACAGACAGACACACACACACACACACATACATCCTCACAAACTTGCGCATTTATACTATTAGTAAGTTACCTTATGTGATGTGATTAGTTTCATATCTACGTTGCTTTTGCATTATGGTAACACTAGCTTCTGTCAGCGGTTTTTGTAGACAATGGGCCATTCATATTAGAAATAAATACAAAAACAAATAACCGTCTTACGTTTTAATGATACAATTTCATAGAAGTAGAAACAAAATATAAAAGTGACATACGTTTAAAGAAAATTCAAACCAAAAATAAAACTTCCTTAACGGCCAGTGTTCACATTACAACCAAATAGGTAGGTATATTATCCAACAGTTTTAGAAGAACTGAGAATATGAATGTGAGGGCAAAATATTTTTCTAAAGAAATATTACATATTTATATTCCACTAGCTTTTGCCAGCGGCTTCGCCCGCGTTCCCGTGGGATAAAAAGTGGCCTAATTGATATTGCTGACCATAATCTAGCCCAGTGCCAAATTTAATTTCGATCCCTTCAGATATTTTGCCGTGAAGGCGTAACAAACAAACATACAAACTTCCGCATTTAAAATATTAGTAAGATTAGCAGGATAATGTATTTCAAATAAAAAAAAACTTAAGAATAAATAAGAACTAAACAATAAAACGAACCCAAACCAACAAAGTACTAGCCTTTTGCCATATACCGGACACAATTCTAGACTCCTTGCTACTATTGTCATTTTTTTAAAACCCAGTAATACTTTTCCCTACCTGGAAATCGAACCTGAAACCCCTGGCAGTCGTGCAGTCGCACTTGCGACTACTCGGCCAACGAGGCAATAATAAAAAAATATGGACATTATTTACTAATCGATCAACCTCATTGCCAAGATGTTGGGAGGTCAAGCATACTCATTTTAAACTGTAATGAGCAATCTTAAAATTAATTAACTTTAAACAATTTGATTTTCCAAGTCTTAATTTTAATCTCTTTGAATACTTGAATTTATTGACTACATGATAGTAATATTTTAAAAGGAATTTAATTGGATTCTTACGTCGATTTTGTAGAAAAGATAGGGCGATCATTAATAATGAAGATTTACTTGAAAACTTTGCTTTAGGTACGTAACGTTAAGAACTATTGAAGTTCACTTGCTAAGATTTTCAAAGAGAAATTAATATGAAGTTCAAATTAGCACTGCAGACCGTTGAGATTGCCTGATCTTTGATAAAAATATCTTTCAATATTCAATAGATAGCTTCTGCCCGCGACTTCGTACGCCCAATCCCGTTTTCTCCCGTTCCCGTAGGATTTTCAGGACTGTTTCTGTCATAAGAACCTTCTCCTGCCAATAATAAACACAACAAAAAAAAAACACCAGCCAAATCGGTCTAGCCGTTCTCAAGGTATGGCGTGACAACGGGAAACGGGTTTCCTTTTTCCTCCATGTTTCCGTGGTTTGAAAAGTAGCCTTTTTTTTAAGGGGGGAAAATCATCGAATGACTGCTCCCGCCTGGGTGAGGCGGGAGGGAGTGTCAGACTCTTGAAAAGTAGCCTAGTGTCATTCCAAACGATAATCTACCCCTGTTTCAAATTTCATTCCGATTTCTGCATTTGGTTTGACGTAAAGAAGTAATATATAAACAAACAAACTTTCGAATTTACAATAGTTGGATAGCGACCCATTTATCCCCAAGTGGTCACCGGTGACCGCTCTCCATTAAGTACATTATAGACCTTATTTCCGATGTTCAGAGACTACTTTTGTATGAACAAATTCAGGGGATGATATTTCAACTAGTTAAAATAACCTAAGTAATTAGAATTCTCGAACCACGTCCAGCATTTGAAGCAGTATGTTTCGGACATCAAAACACTCATTCATTCACTCAGTTCACTCACTCACTTAATCTGCGAAGACCAGCTCATTGTTTAAGTCCCACGACCGGGTGTGTAACAAGATACTTGACATTAATTGAAGTCACGCTTACTAAGGGAATATGACCCTTATAGCCTTGGATAAAACACTACACTTAAGATTTATTATCCGTTAATGCGATATGTCTAGGGAAGTTTTATTACGTAGCCTTTAAGCTAGATAGAGCTACGGGTTATGAAAACCATTATATAATGTCGCCCTTGTTATGTCTCAAAGGGATAGGACTCCTTCTTCAGTTATGTTATTTATTTACAATACAATCCCATTATTATAGAATATAGCAAAGTGCAAACGGAACGCTTCCAAAAACGCTGACAAAAATATATTAGTCTTTTGGTTTTTTTTTTAGTAGTATTGGTGTTATCCATGCAACATTAGCCTTGTGTAACTACACAATTATTATTTCATGAAAAACACGATTAATTGTTACCCTTTTTTAATATAAAACTCCTTTTTACCATGACCTATCTTCGTTTTTTGGAAGCGTTACACCATATACAGCTCTATATGTGGTGTAACGCAGCCAAGCTAAAAATTTCGAAGTCTGGGTACTTATCTCAAGTTTATTTTTCAACTACTGCCGAAGGATCTTAAGTGCGTTCTTTATTAGTGCCAGTAAAACTCATCAACATCAGTACAGTTACTTAGAATGAAAAGCATAACTCACACACAAAAATGCTTAAAGTAACAAATCGTAGCCAAACTTTAAAGAATAGATAGAATTTTCTCATTTTCTAACTTCATTTACTCAGAACCTTACTTCTAGACAAAAACCTACCCTATCCCTAAAATATAAAGTCGGTTTCACTACGTTTAGCTTATCACGAGTGAGTGAGTACAAAATTACAGGCACTTGAGTCGTTTAGAGATTATCTTTGGAGCACGTATTGGCAAACCATTAGACCGTTTTGCACGCTCTGAGATATAGAGAAGTGTTTGAGTAAGTGTGAAAGTTTCACTGGTTTAATATAGACTTGATTTTACTTTGGTGCCTATATTTAGTCTAGACACTGTCTTACTCAATAAAGTCGAAAGTTTAGTGACGTAGAATATCTCCTGCCTTAAGGTACAGACAGACGTGTTCAATACTAGCACGAAAGCATGCTTCAATTGACCACTTGTAGTGACAAGTGTAGTAGCTACTAAGTGTAGTAGCATGTGTGTCGGAATATTGCTCAAAATTAACATGCTCATTTTGTTTGCGAATCGACAGTTGTTCGATATTTAAAAATTGTAGCATGTTATTTTCGACCATGTGTAACAGTACTTTTAAACCAAGGTTACACTAGATGGAGAAATGTCGCATGTATCCGCGACATATCAAACGATGCCGGCTGATTTCAACTGACATATTATATGGCGACAACGCCCGACTATGTCCAGTGCCACGTTGATGTTGCCCGACAAGTCAATCAAAGTCCGGCAACGTTCGCACTAATTTACCTAACGTCACTGGTGACACGTGTCGCAGGACATTTTGTCCCCTAGTGTATCCTTGGCTTTACTCTTACCGCGGTTACCGTAACGGTCTAGGTACAAAGTGACTACATAATTAGCAAAGACATAACAAAGATTCAATGCTCTCTGATAAACAAAAACTTTTTTCAACTGCGTTTTCCAACCCATCTAACAACCGTGGAGCATATGACAAATCTTGTCATAATAATAATAATATGTAAAAGAATTATTTACTTTGGTTGCGATACAAGACATTAAAACTAATTCTTCTTCCAGGTACATCCTCTCGCTAGCATTGGCAGATCTTCTGGTAATCATCACATGTGTGCCGTTCACCTCCATTGTATACACGGTGGAGTCGTGGCCTTGGGGAGCCACAGTCTGCCGCGTCTCAGAAGCTGCGAAAGATGTCAGCATTGGAGTATCAGTGTTCACGCTGACTGCTTTGTCAGCTGACAGATACTTCGCCATTGTTGATCCGTTGAGGAAGCTACATGCCACAGGTCAGTTTTAGTTGATATCTCTAATTTTTAAGACCATTTTTCTCAGTTCTTTTGTTCAAGTAAAATGATCACGTAAGTTTTATAAAGATTCTATGATATGAATTGTTATTCAACTGCTATTTACAATTTTGTGTAATAACATTTTTATGTCCATTTAAAATCAACAAAGTAAAAGACAATAGCCACTAAAACTTTATCAATTACAAGGAATTTGAAATAAACTCATTCAATACTCCGAACCGGTAAACTTAGAAATAAAAATCACACTAAAAAGTTCCAAGAATTACCTTTAAATAGAAAGGACTGGAGAAGTTCAAAGCGCAGTTAATAATATTTATGTAATACAGCTTAAAATAAAATACTGATTTTATAAGCCACTGCACGTCTTTTGTTAGCGCTTCTAGGAACGATGTTGTTTTTATAGAGCTACGTTCGTCGGTCCATCCACGAATTTCTTTTTACACGTACCGGATAGCCGGCAGCGATTTCGTTAAACCGGAAAATGTTGAAGTTTTTCCTCATACCTTTGTCGTACTGACACCGCACAGGGTAATCTGTACGTACGTGACTTATTCTAGCGGTCGATTGCAAAATACCTAATATTTTATTGTCTATTTTACAAAATTGATTTTCTCAATGCAATATGTAGTGTGTTGTGTGGAATAGGTTTTTTAACAGCTGCAATTTTTTCAGTTTTTTGTATACTGACTCTTTAGCATTACTTTTCTATAGTATTTCAAATATTTAAACATTGTTTCTTAAAAAAAACAATGAACACAAAACTGACAAAAACATCCCTTCCTGAAATAATTTATACTTTTGTTCTGTGTATCAAAAACCTTAATGCACTTAATATCACTATATGAACCTGAATTTAAAATGTCACCAACTATTCTAAAAATCTACACTCGCGTGCATTTTTTATGGCATAAGCCGGTAAACTAGCAGACGGATCACCTGATCCAGTGATTCAGGGATTGGGAAGATTGCGGAAGAGGAGGGTAATTGGGACTCCGATAACCTCACTCAAAATACGAAACACAACGCAAGCGTTGCTTCACGTCGGTTTTCTGTGAGGCCGTGGTATCACTCCGGTTGAGCCGGCCCATTCGTGCCGAAGCATGGCTCCCACACTTGTGGCTGTGCCTGACTAACAAAACTATAATAATAATAACATATTCATATAACTTCTAAATCTGCTACTTATAAAAAACTCAAACTAAAATTATTCATGACAGCTAACAATTTATAAAAATAAGAATGAATTTCATTCGTTAGTTTCGCTATAACTCGAGAACGGCTGAACCGATTTAGCTATGGTCTTGAAATGTTCGTAGAAGTCCAGAGAAGGTTTTAAAGTGAGAAAAAAGTTTTCAGGCGGTATGAAGTTTGTCGGGTCACCTAGTATTCATATAAAATGAAAATAATCTTTATACTCTTGCCTTAAACTTTGTTAAAATATGTTCGTATTAACGTGTAATGAGATTAAAATGTACGCAAATGAGGAAACTTTGTGAATGAAACTCTTTAAACTATGTACCAAGTGTATACTTAAGCAAATTATCTGAATATCGTAACATTACTGTGTTAATTTTCTAATTACCTCCTTTTCAAAAGTTATTAAATAAAACTACTGGTCGCATATTGGGTTTATTCAGGACTTTAGTGCTATTTAGCGGCCTGCAACTTTGTGAGTGCTGATACTTTGACTTTAAGCCAGCACAAGAATGTGACTGCGTAGGGTTAGTCATCAACACAGGTTGAAAATCTTCTAAAATACAAAATGAATCGGTAAATGTTTGGTAAGCGCAAATCTCCAGAAGAACGGAGTCGAATTTGCTAATTCTCTTTTTTAGGTTTGTTATTGTAAGCAGAAGATTGTAATATTAGTAAAATGCCTACCCCTTCGAGAATAAAGGCGTGATGATGATTTGTTCTTTATTAAATTCGCAGCATAAAAAAATATCTTGATCGATATTTATTCTACAAGAGATTACGGTTACTAACCCAATTTCAGTTTAATAATACTTGTTTTGATAAGTTTTCTTTCACAATGGAGATAGCTAGGGATTTAGTCTGAGTAGATAACTATAAAAGTAGTTATTAAAAAAAATAAGGTCCATGACTATCCTAAACAGAATTTCTTTGTCTCCCCAACCATTGGTCGGAAAGACAATTTTTGATATAAATTAATATCATACACGATGAGATGAAAAACTTACAACGTTTAAACAACAAAAAGAACAACTACTTACTATATCCGTACGAGAGTAGATACCTACAACTTCATAATGAATCTGTGAATCTGTAGGGTATACTTCTATAATTCGCCAATAAGAGGCTGGGAAATTACACTCCAATAGCTATGATTGATTGAACAACTTCCAACTTATGATTGATACCATTTATTCTACCTATCTATAGAAATGAACATGGGTTTTTGGAAATATCAAGAAAAATATAAGTAGACCCGTTTCTATAGGTTAGATATTCATGTTAAATAGAATGTAAGTAAGCAATTATTTTTTGTCAAGATTGTAACACGATCAATGTTGGAATTAAAAGCCTTTTTTCGGTTTTAGATTTGACTAACCAACCAATATTAATCTCTACGCTACAGTCTTTAAGTTACGAATTTCAATAAACAATATATCTTTAATAATATAAAAATTAGATAGAATTCTTTCCCAAAGTCTGTATTTCCTGAAGGGTACCTAGGTATCTTCAAGGCCCGTGTGAATAGGTTGCTTATGGGACGACGTGCTCCATCGTAGACCGCATCATCGCTGTACCACCTGGCGAGATAGTGGTCAATCGGCGGCCAATCAAAATTAAATATAAAAAGGTCCCTAGGTATTTAAACTTTAAATAACTAAAAATAAAAAGCAACTGCAATTTTTGTGCGAAAATAAAAATCAAGATTCAACAAATTCGACCGCAACAATGAAATAAAATGCCTCGGTAATAAAATAAAAGAAATACAACACTAAATGATTTATTGCCAACAAAAAGTACAATATTTTTACATCGAGATAACAGTAAAAAGATCAGTACAATACAAGTCTAATTCTGTCAAATAAATTGGGATAAAAGCTAGAATTGGCATGCCAACTACTTTTTTGTGTAGTCAATAAATTGTAGCGTCCTCGTGACGTGTGACTAGCAAATCCTTACCAAAATCGAGATACAAAAGGGTTTGTGGTAGTCGTAAATATTATTGAATTATTATGCTTAGAGTACATACCTAAACCTTTTAGGGGTATGATAAGGCGAAGTTGTCTTACAATAGTTACCTATCCCCTTTAGAGCTATAGAGGTAGCCATGAGTAGTCATGTACAACTGTCAAAATCCAGTTAGGGTACTAAGAATTTAGATCTTTGTAAGCGAATATAGTTAATTTTGTTACTTAAATTCAAAATGGATATTCTAATCAAATTGAAAATCTTTGACTTTTTTAAGACGATAAAAATTGAAGATAATTCTTTTATAAACTACATTAATTTATAAAAACCGACTTCAACCTTGTTTGAATTCGGTTAATTAATAGATAAACTAAAACCATCTCCTAACAATATACGGTAACAGATACTTTTCTGAAAACTGTATCAAAATCGGTTCAAACAATCGTGAGATAATTGCGCATAAACATACATTCATACAGGTCAAAGGACTAGGACAGCCTCGTTGGCCGAGTGATCGTAAGTGCAACTAGCGGGCCTCGAGGGGTCTCGGGTTCGATTCCCGGGTCGGGCAAAGTATTACTGGGTTTTTTTTTTAAAAATCTCAGTAGTAGCACGGAGTCTGGAAATGTGTCCGGTATATGGCAATAGGCCCACCCTCTATTACATGGGACTCATAACAGAAATAGTGAAAAGTGGGTGTTACTTCTGTGTGCACCTCTGCCTACCCCTTCGAGGATAAAAAGCGCGATGTTATGTTATGTTATGTTATGTCATACAGGTCAAACTTAGAATCTCTTTTTTTGAAGTCGGTTAAAAAATCAGAAATACTGTGTGACTAATCGCTAGTATTATCATAATAATTCCAGTTAAGTCCTGTTTTTATATTTATAATATTGATACACTAGATTAAATTAATATATTGTTACAATATTTGCACGGTTGGCGCGGTGGCTGTGCAACTGGCTAACGCGCAACGTGTCGCGAGTTCGATCCACGCACGGAACAACTCTTTCTGTGGTCTGCAGATTGTTTTTCCGGGTATGGGTGTCATGTGTATGTGAACTTGTATGATTGTAAACGTACCCACAACACAGGAGACAGTTTTAGTGTGGGGCAAAAAATAATTAAACTTATTAATCATTCTTATTGATTCATTATTAATGGTAGTACGATAGGTAAGTATACATAATTATATTCCCGCAAATACTTATAAGCGAAGTGACACAACTCCCGAAGCGACGATGGAACAGAAGCCAAATAGATTATCCTATCAGTGGACGCGTTGACGCCATAAATACTCCCACGTACGGATGTACGGATCTGCACCCGTCAGCTAATCACTTTACTACCCCCCTCTAATTGTTTTAGCAGCCAAATCGTAGCTTCAGTATGATAGCTACTGATATATGCAACATACATAGTTATATTGAACTGCCAACGGGCCGAGTGGTGACAAGTGCGACTGCCGGGCAAGGAGTCTCGGGTTCGATTCCCTGGTCGGGCAACATATTACTGGGTTTTAGAAAAAAAATTCTCAGTAGCAACACGGGGTCTGGAATTATGCCCGGTATATGGCAATAGGATCACCCCATATTACATGGGACTGATAACATAAATAGTCAAAAGTGGGTGTTACATTGCACAGTGGCATAATGTGCATCTCTGCCTACCGTCTGCCTACCATCGGGGACAAAAAGCGTGATGTAATGTTATATTGAAATGGTCATGTAAGTGAAAAATTAGAGAGCAAAATGCTTTTATGTTTCTATATAAAGTTTGTTTGATTAAGTCGTAAGTAAGCACAAAACTATTTAGTACGAGCAACAAGATTTTTGTTATAATATCAAATTTTGTCTTTCCAAAAACAAATATTTATATACCCACTATTATAAAATAGCTGTAATGGAGTAATGAAAGACTTGAAAAAGTATAATGCAAAACATATATAATTCGTCAAAAAACTATTAGTATCATAAAATATTCGTAGCACAGCATAGCCTACGCTGGAAAATTCTGTAGCAAGTGCTACGGTATTTCAACTATTTTTATAAGCGCTACGCCATCCAATCATACATGGCTACGCCACCAATATTGCTACGTATTCTATATCGACATCGACCAAACTTTTTCATATTTTTATCGAAACACAGCTTTAAAAAAAAATATTTTTTTTAAATGATATCTATTTTTTCCCATTCAAAACCTTTCAATGCTTTGATTTTATATTACGAACTAGTTAACACAACAATTAATTTAATTTCTTTATAATTACATTTCCGAAACGATTAAAGTAACTCAATCTCTTTCAACTCGTAACAATTGGTAAATCGATTTCAATTCAAATCGATTACATTTATAACACGCGAAATGTATTGGATTAGCGTCTCGAGCCGATCAATCCATTTAACTCAACACGGTAATCGGCAATAAGCCACATAAGATGGGATTTTATCATCAATCTACATCTCTACATGATTAATACAATTTCTCCAAAAACCGGGAAAAGGGCATCTGCCTACTATAATTCTGTGGCCCTAATTAAAAGGGTGTAAGTAGATACAGTGTCCAATAAATGAATCTATATACTCCAATTTGTCAATTTTTGTCATTGGATTTTCGATATTATATCTAAACGATAGAGATGAAAATCGAATAAAGAAGAAAATAGTAGCTTGACAAAGCCCACTGTACAATTTTGTCAAAAATGAGGTTGCGTGAGGTTATACCAAGGTGATAAAAAAATGCTTCATTCTGTTTGCCTATAAAACATCCCATATATTTTATTAAATATACTGGTTTAAATGACAGACCACAGTCCATACACGAGTTAAGTAGTTTTACACACATACAATAAATTTTGATTATTTTTGCATCTCCTGTAAAATTACATTTTTTTTATGGTCTAAGCCGTTAAACGAGCAGACAGATCACCTGATGGTAACCAATCGGCGATGCCCATGGACACCTGGAACACCAGAGGCGTTACAAGTGCGTTACCGGCCTTTTGGGGATTAGGAGTTTGAGGATCGTTGGGGATTCAGGGATTGGGGAGATTGGGGAAGGGAAGGGTAATTGGGCCTCCGGTAACCTCACTCACACGACGAAACACAACGCAAGCGTTGCTTCACGTCGGTTTTCTGTGAGGCCGTGGTATCACTCCGGTCGAGCCGGCCCATTCGTGCCGAAGCATGGCTCTCCCACACTTCAATTTAAATTGGACTTAGATCATTTTTTACTAGGGGGAATTTATGAGGTTAAAATAGATCTCTGTATCCGAGAAAGCAGATTTTCTCAAATAAAACCGTGTGTACTGAACCTTAAATAAATTAGTGGTTCGCTCGGATTTGTTAAACTCTTCAGGATAAAACCTTTATTTAAGTATTTACTTTGAGTATATTTTGGACGTTGAGAATGGTGACTCTTGCTCGGTTTTCATTTAAAATTGTTTCGTGAATTTGTTAATATTTATTTTATGTGTTTTTCATTGATGTACCTGAGTTTGTGGTTTCTAGATTTTCTTCTTAATGTCTTTGTTTGTCAAGTATTCTGCAACTGACTAACAAGAAATTGATACCTATATAATACTATACTAACAACCTAGTGCGTTTTCATAACATAACATCTCACCTTTTATCCCCGAAGAGATAGGCGGAGGTGCAACTCATGGCACTTTATGCCACTGTATCCCGAGCGTACGGCGCGTCGCGTTCCGCGCGCGCCTCAAAGAGCCATCAGACCACCACAGATGGGACCCAATAGGGCCGATGCCGATTCGGAGTCGCGGAGAACCTAACGGGTAACCGGGGCTCCGGCTCGACGTGCAGGAGAAGGAACGGGGTGGTTTTTAGTCAGTAAGAGTCTGACACTCCACACTAGTCAAGAACAGTCATTCGATGATTTTCCCCCCTTAAAAAAAAAAGCCACTGTATACAATATAATACCCACTATTCACTATTTACGTTATGAGTCCCATGTAATAGGGGGTGACCCTATTGACCTATACCAGACACAATTCCACACTCCGTGCTACTACTAAGATTTTTTTTAAACCCAGCAATACTTTGCCCGACCCGAGAATCGAACCCGAGACCCTTTGCCCGGCAGTCGCACTTACGACCGCTCAGCCAACAAAATTTAGCTGCAATAAAACTTTATACATTAAACACTTTCTTTCTAACAAAGTGTTGTTTAAATAATTTTAACAGTGAAAGTCGTGTAAAGTTATTGTTTAAAGGTCAGGAAAAATATGAATATTGTTAGCAATAACTAAGTAATAATATACTAT